TGTGGGAACAGAGCTCTCCACCTCGCTCTGCCCTCAGGCCCCTCCTGGGTCCATCCTGCTCTCTCACTCCTGACCACCTGACTCTCAGACTCTGACCTGTCTTCACGGCTGACCCATTCTTGTCATCCAGTGCCTTCCGTTATACAAGACCCAGCTTCCCCGCTCAATCCCTCCGCCCAGCCCACACTGCCCCTGCCCCGCACTAACCGCTCACACAGGGCCTGAGATTGGGGGCCAGCACCTCACAGGTGCTCCGCATGCCATCATCTCAATCATCTTCTGCAGACAATTGTATGCGTACATGTCTACTGACCTGCATCTCAGCCTGTGCATTGCTGTCACAGATGTCAGACACCGGGTGGCCTGTGAACAACAGAAGTTCATTTCCCGAAGTTCCGGAAGCTGCAAGTCTTGAACTCAGGGCCAGGTGAGGCCCCCCTCCTGGTGGTGCATTTCTCACTGTCCTCACAGGAGACAGGGTGAGGGAGCTCCTTGAAGCCTCTTTATTAGGACACCAATCCCAGCAGGTGGCGCTAGTGGCAAAGAGCCCACCTGCCAACCCAGGAGACATGAGACGTGGGTTCCATCCCTGGACTGGGAAGATGCCCTGGAGGAGGCCATGGGAACATACTCCAGGATTCTTGCCTGGAGAATCCCATGGATAGAGGAGTCTGGTGGGCTACAGTCCATGGGGTCTTAAAGAGTCAGACACGACTGAAGTGGCTGAGTATGTAGCAATCCCACCACGAGGACTCCATCCTGATGACTCAGTCACCTGCCAAACGCCCACCTCCAAATACCTTTGGGAGGCAGGACTTCCACATATGATTTCTGGGGAGACACAAACATTCAGACCATAGCAAGCACCTACTATGTGCCAGGAACTCTCCTTGACAGTGAGGATATGGCAGGAAAAAACCCTGCTCCTGGGGACCACAGCCCAGTGAGAGAGAGTCAAGTTCTCTGTAGCCCCGCTGCCGGCAGGTTATGCCTCCCCGCCAGGCCTCCTGCCTGCTCCTCATTACGCCACTCTCTTCTCTGCCTCCAGTGGCCCCCTGCCCCTGCATCTCCCCTCCTCACGCTCCTCCGGCTGCAGGAACTGAGCTTGCTTTCTCAGGCTTTCCTGGGCTCTGCTGCAGGATGAGGTCTGCTCCCCCTCCCTTTCCTGCAGGGTAGGGGCTTAGCCCCTTCAGGAGGTGCCTGACTTTAAATCCTACCTGCGTCCAGCAGGGCAAGTCTGCCTGGGGTCAGCAAGCCCACCGTGGTCAGCCGCCGAAGGTGGTTCCTCTAATCCAGGTTTTACAGGTAGCACAGCTAGTAGTTTGGTTTTCCACGCTCTGACTCTCTTGTCATGGCAAACCCACTCCAGTATTCTTGCCTGGAGAATCCCATGGACAGAGGAGCGTGGCGGGCTACAGGCCATAAGATCGCAGAGTCGGACATGACTGAAGTGACTTAGCACACGTGCACGAGTTGTTTCAAACTTAAGAGGGGAAGAGAGAGACATTATTCATTTTGAATAATTATTCATTTCATTAATAATTAGTTATTAAGTTTCTTCCTCTGTCAAAAAAGAGAGGGAGGTGGCTGGGCTGGAGGAGAGGGTTAAGGTTGGATCTGCCTTGATGGGGACCAGGTGGGTGGGGTCAGCTTCTCTGGACTTGAGGAACTGGTCCCATATGAGGCAGGTGGGCTCCCAGACCTCCTACTCCAGAAAGGTCAGGAGTGGGTCTCTGGAAACTCCATTTCTGAGAACCAGCCGGGTGATTCTGAGCTGCATTTGAGAACCAGGGTCATCGGGGATTTCTGGATGCCCCAGGGCGTGGGGAAGGTGGTGTGGGTGAGGGAATCGAGGTGGTCTTGAGCTGGGAGCTGGGAATTTGGGTTAATGCTGGGAGAGGCCAATGGGAGGATGGGAGCCTGGCCATGAGGCAGAAGTACTATTCTAGGAGCCGAGGGGCTCCGTCTCCCCCTTGTCAGAGAGCAAGGGCCAGGCTCTTGGGGAAGGCAGAGAGGATCCAAGCTGTGTCGGCAGCACCTGAGGTCCAGCCCTGCCTGGCGGCTGTGCTGGGCTGCTCTCTGGGTTCTGGTGCAGAGAAAGACCAGCGGAGTTCAGAGTGATGCCTTGGCTTCTGAGCAGCAGGGAACTCCTGCGTCGGTGGTCTGAGCACTTCTTCCAAGTCTTGTACTGATTGCCCAGCTCCTAGATGCCTGTTTCGAGCCCTGCCCAGGATTTAGAGTTGAGAGGCTGGGCATGTGAAAAAAACGAGACTTATGACAACAGCCGAGCGATCTTGTTCCTTAGAGTGTGCATACTTTCAATGAAAACGCAGAACTACACCAAGGAATCACAAAAACTCCAAGATGTTTTATTTTGATAGAAAATATGGCCAATTAACTGGAAATGGAGTCAGAAATCGTTGGCATCTGAGCCCCCAATCATGATGTCTAGCTCCTCAGATTTCACACTAATATGTTAAACACAGCATGTTTTGTAAATTTACAGCACTCACCAGGAACAGAATTGGATGAGCACCTGTCTTCAGGAAGGTTAAAAAACTGCACCCAGGAAACCGCCAGAGCTGCCCCGGAACAGCAGAGAGGGAGCTGTCCAGAACATGCCAGGCTGTTCCAGGTATGCAGGGGACAGTGTTTGTGTGACAACGGCAGCCACCCCTCGCTTCCTTCACTCAGCATCTTCCAGGCCCTCTGTGCAGGCGACCGGGCTCTTTGAACCTTGGTGCATCCACCTGGAAGCAGGTGCAGTCCTCCTGGGGCTGACCAGGCAGAGTGTTCCTGAGACTTACCCCTCCCAGGAGTGAATGTGAGTTGTTCTGCTCCTCGCCATCACCCCATGAGGGAAACACCCTCCAGGGCCCACTTCCCAGAGTGGGGCTCACCAGGTTGGGCACATGGGGTGCGCACACCCCTGAGTCACTGAGGGCTTGCAAGGGGACCAGAGGAAGCGTAATGGCTTACAGCATCAAAAAGATGCTGAGGATGATCATTCTTAGCATGATCGCAATAATATAAAAGGGAGTGAAAACCAAGAAGGGAAGTCTGTCATCCTACGGAATGCTCTTGAAGTGAGGGTTTGAAACTCCACCCTCGCTTGTTACCACGTCCTGGGTTCCAGGGTGGATTGCTCCTCAACCCCTTCCCAAGCTCAGTCGATGAGCTTGAGAGATGAGGGCAGGCCACTGCCCTCCTCAGATCCCTTCTAGTTGAATGTTGGTCGTTTAGTCGTGTCTGACTCTTTGGGACCCCATGGACTGTAGCCCACCAGGCTCCTCTGTCTGTGGAATTCTCCAGGAAAGAATACTGGACTGGGTTGCCATTTCCTTCTCCAAGGGATCTTCCCGACCTAGGGATTGAACCCAGGTCTCCCGTGTTGCAGGCAGATTCTTTACCATCTATCTGATTCACCAAAGAAGCCCACTTCTAGACACACTCATTATCCCTGGTAAGGTGCACACAAACACCTTTGGTTCCTCACTCTCACAGTCAGACCCCACCCTCCCCGCCCACCACCGCCACTTTGGAGTACCTTAAATTGAGCCTAGGTCGTTTCCGATTTAATGCCAACACCCTTCATCTCTTGAACCCGTGACCACTGAGAAAGGACAGGATGTAACTGTGAAACTGGATCTGGCAATAGTTGTGTCATCACCTCTCTCTAAGCCACGCGTTCATTCGGCACAGTAACTTAAGGTTGCCGAAAACGTCGTTGAAGGATACTGCCCCGGCCACTGACACTTACGAAAAGCCCCTGATGCCAGAGCCTGATGTGCAACAGGACAGTCTGTGGATTTCATTCAAGTTTCACCCCATTTGGATCAAACGTTGAACCGTGTAAATTTGATCACTTCATCTTATTTACTAGATTTGAGCCCACACAGTGTTTGGCTGGTTCTCCCAAAGGGCCGAGTGTCTCAAGCAGTGCAGGTCTGTGGCAGACAGAGTTGAGACTCCCCAGCCCTGAGCCCCCTGCCCTAAATGTGCAGCTGAGCAGGGGGAGTGCCCCCAGGGTGGTCACTGCGGTCAGCCCCCACCTCTGTGCTCCCTCCGGCTGCCCCTCGCTGAGCATGGCATTAAGCACTGCCCTAAGAAGAGCTGGAGAACGTGTGTTATATTGCCCACGACCTCCACTCACCCTCCAACTCACAAATACCCCAAGGCCAGCACAGCTTCAGTGGGAGGTGCTCAGCACGCCGAAGTGAACCGATGCGCTGGCAGCAGCAGCGAACGCGCTAGATCACATATGACCCCACCCTGTCCTGGACCCGCCCCCAGGCCCAGCTCCTCCTCCTCAACCCGGAGGGAGTCTGCAGCAGGTGGCCGGTCTGCGGGGCGATTCTCTCAAGACCAGCGTGGGCTTCACATCATGGGGCAGACAGAGTATTCATTGCATTTATTAGTTCTATCACCACAGAGTAAGCATTTGGAAATGTATACAAAAGGATACTCTATTCCTCCAAGGGCATACCCCTTGTTCACAGCAAAACAGAAATAATTTAACATCATCATAGAGGCAGATTGGAAATACAACTGCATTTTCTCATTTACAGTCCTGTACAAGTATTTGCCAGATTGGCAGCTGCACACCTAAAGATGCATTAGATAGACACACATAAATTGAACCCTGAACAGTCACCACATACAACATTGTAAAAAAGTGTGTTAGAAAGTACTGGAAACAAGATTGCATATTCATCTCTGGTCACACTTGTTCACAGTGAATGCTATCGCACCAACATCATATGTGCTTTTTTTTCTTTCAATTTCTGATGTCTGTATATCTTAAATAAGTCTAATTTTGGTTTCTTTTAAAGTAAAAAAAAAAACAACAACACTAAACTGAAGGAGAGAGATCTGGATTCTGAGTAGCGCCGCCCCTTCATTATTGCTGGAACATAAGTGCACGAGAGAAATAGATTTACTTCACGACTGGTCTACAGAAGTCCATGGCATCTTACTTTTGTTTTGGCAAGAAGATGATGCTAAGAAAGTCCCACTGAAAACAAAACAAGAAAAAGCACAATAATAGAAAAAAAAAACAAAAAAGAACTCTCATCACATTGAGAGATAGCTGTCTTTCTTGATGTAGAGTCTGAGATCTCATTTTTGGTTGATTCTGAACTGGAAGTGAAACGTGCTGGTATCTGAAATGCTAGGTGCTGGGACACGCCCTTGGGTGACAAAGCAAGAGTCACGCGATTCTTTTTAATGTCTCTTCTACAAGGACAAGCCCACGCTCTAAGATAGTGATGCAGGAAGACCTGGGTGAGGAGTAAGGTCCAGGTGTTCTGAGTGGAAGGGAGCTGGGTGACTGGGATGGGCCGGAATGCCAAACAGGGAGTTCTCATGGTCAATGGAATCCACCTGCTCCTGGTGCCCCTCCTTTGGTTGATATTTATTTTCAACACAACGAGAGTGCATGAAACCTACTGCATCCACAGTGGTCCCCGAGACACACACTCATATCTTCAAACAGCTGAACAAACCACAGAGTGAAACGGGGTAAGGTCATGCAAAACACTACTTTTACCAGCTAGAAGGAAAATGTCAACAGCTTTGGGTACAGAACATGGCCACCTTTCAAGCATAATTTCATTACTTGTTGGCATTAATGAAACCTTACTTTAAATACAATAGTTTCAGAGAAAAAGGGTGTTACATTAGAAAACCACAACAAAAGGTGTGTAAATAAGGTTATATTGGTTACAAAAGGCGGAGAGAGGGAGGGGAAAACAAGTCCTCAGCCACTATGTACAGTGGTGGGTTGAGGTCTGTTTGAAGCCACAGGTGAAAAGATCACTCTGTTCAGCCAATGGACCCTGTCTGCAAACTGGACAAGTAAGCAGTCTCTTACCCTGAATATACGTGTTCAAGGGGATAAGGTGGATCTTTCTTTGTAACTTCACATTGAACTAGTGCTGTCCACAGCCCAGAGCCCCCTCTGCCCCTCACCCAGTGCCTCAGTCTGTCACTGACCAAGTCACTACAACTGTGTCCATTTCCAGGTTCAAAACATCACACAGTTCCGTAAGCAAAGAACCCCATGACTCAAGGACGCTAGGCTGCCACCCTTTCCACAAAACTCAAGTGCACCTGGGAAGGTAAGCTTCTGAAGACTGAAGGTGGGATAGTTCATTGAGAGAATTAAAACAAACCCAAAGGAACAGGAGTCACGCTTGAGACTGCTGACTGGGGACATTCATGGCAGGGCTTTCATCTCTGGAAGGCTTCCAGACCCTTGATTGGTTTACAATTCAATTAGAGCAGTGGTTCTCCACTAGGGACACCTTTTTCTTCCCAGGGGCATTTCTGGTTGTCAACTGGGGGGTCCTACATGCATTTATTGGGTAAGTGACCAGTGAAGTGATAGTCACTCAGTCGTGTCCAACTCTTTGTGACCACATAGGCTGTAGCCCACCAGGCTCCTCTGTCCATGGGATTGCCCAGGCAAGAATACTGGAGTGGATTGCCATTTTCTCCTCCAGGGGATCTTCCCAACTCAGGGGTTGACCTCATGCTGTTAAACAGCCTAGGATGCCTGGGGAAATCCCCTGCAACACAGTATCCAGCCCCAAATGTCAAGAGTGCTGAGCCCAGGATCTCTGGAGTTGGCTGAAAAGCAGAGATACTTGTGCACAATTTTTGCTGTTTCCTTATGGTCACCTTGGACATTTTTGGTGATGAAAAATACTGGAGACATTTGCAACTGTATGCCCTTCCTGCTAGGTGGGTGAGATGAATGTCCTAATGGCAGCGTGAACCTCTCCTATTGCTTTCCAGGTTAGGACCGGAACCCGTGGGCGTCTTTGTGGGCCTTTGAGGGCACGAGCGGGTCTCACCCCCCGGGCCACCTCCCTCTGTCCAGCTGGACTTGGAGTTGTGGTCACGAGATGATCCTGAACACTCCCCCAGTCAGAAAGGTGCATCCTGCCTAGGTGGACACAAGGGTGCAGCTCTTTCCTTAGAGGAGAGAGTGTCAGGTGGTTGGAAAGTGTGGTTTCAAACAAACAGGTGCTGTGTGTAAGCAGTAGCCTCTGGGCTCCACCTGCCACATTCCCTTGACCTGAAAATGGTCATTCTGAATCCTTCAGTGGGTATTAAAATGGGAACACTAGTGCTCACTTCGGCAGCACATATACTAAAATGGGAACACTATACACAGAAGGCAGGGAAAGAAATGCACCCACAACAAGAAACCCATGCTTGGAGCTACAAACACAACGTTAAATGAAGTTCAGGACAGACTTTCTGCAAGAAATAGGCTTCTGGTCACAGGCAGAACCCGGCAGGAAGGAGGACAGAACCAGACGTGAGTGTGGAATTCAGAATAAAGGTTTGGTTTCTGAGGGGTTTTATCATCTGAGCGTTTCAAAAGGAACTAAGGTCTAAATTTCAGGGCCGGTGTTAACAATGTAGTGATAGACTCTGGGGGCCCTTAGGAGATGAGAGAGCAGAAAACAATGGGCCAGGTGCCCCACGGAAATAGAGTTCATTCCATGGGACAACAGGCCAGGCCTCTGGAGGCTTATGGGCTGGGCAAAGTCATGACAAAGTTTGGGAAAGGAGAATGAATCCAAAAGGCTCTCCAAGCCCTCCCCTCCCTCTGCCCAACAGTCATTTTCCCCAGCAGTGTGCAGAATTTGACTTAGAATAATATCTTCCTTTGGAACCTGTGGCCTGTCGGTGCTGGATGCACGCAGTTTCTGGCGCTGCAATGAGGGCATTTCAGCCCAGGGTCACGGTCACGGCCACAGCGCAGGGGCTGTGCGCCCGGTTCCCGGGATCCTGCAAACCCCATCTGGTGCGGGAAACCACGCTCAGCATGGAACCAACTCATTCCTTCCCGGGCTTCCGCTTGTTTCTATACAATTCTCTCCGAACATGACCTATCACTTGGAGGCCGGCGATTTCTAGGAAGCAACAGGGGAGGGGATTTCAGCCTGCGGTCTACAGGATCGTCTAGTAAGAGAGCACTCCGAGGGCTCCAAATGGAACCCCGCATCTAACAAGAAAAACGTCCTGTTCTCAAAAGCAAATCAACCAACTCAGAACAAAACGAAGTACCACCTAGAGGACAAAGCACAGCGGTCCAGCCCAGCCCCGGCTGCCCGCCCAGGGGCGCGCGCAGGGCGCGGACGCTCTTCCCGCGGGCTCGCGCAGGCCGGCTTTAGCTCATGTGGAAGCGGTGCTCCCCGCGCGTGATGTGGGACGAGAACTCGTAGCGGTCCTGGCTGTGGTAGCCGCACATGTTGCACTCGAAGGGGTCTCGGAAGCCGTGGCAGCCCATGTGGATGGTGTACATGACGTGGTCCAGGAAGAGCACGCGGCAGTGTTCACACCTGTACACCTTGAGGGCTTCCCCGCCCGTGCCGATCACGCGCAGCGCGTCCGGGGGCCCCTCGGAGGCCGCGCGCAGCACGTCGTAGGCCGCGTGCTCCTCCTTGATGGGCAGGCCGTTGCGCGCGTGGGGCGCGATGTGGTTGGTCAGGTAGATGAGGCCGCCCCGCTGCTCCTCCGCGTTGCTCTCCGTGTCCGTGGAGTCTTGGCAGCTGTTGCTCGGGGACGCCTCGCGCTCCGAGGGTGCGGACTTGGCCTTCGGGAGCAGCAGCAGGTTCTCCACAGCGCCGTCCTGGGCTGAGTGGCTGGAGCGCGCGGGGCCCTCGGCGTGCGGCTTGTGGAGCTGGTACATGGGGCTGAGCACCGGGACCACGTCGGAGCTGCCGGGGGGCGTCTGCACCAGGGGGCGCAGGGACTCAGCCCCCAGGTAGCTGATGGCGTTGTTGATGGCCTGGTCTATCACATGTGTCTGCATCATCTCATTCTCCTTCTCGTAGCTGGCACTGCCGTCGTAGGGCAGTTCCGGCAGGCACTTGTCCCCTGTGGGAAGCGGTGACAGTCAGTGAGGCCCAGGTAACCTCTGTGCCCGGCGGCAACAGCTGACATCTACACCAGTGGGGGCAACAATCTTGGGCAGACACACAAGGCGGACACCACCAAAATAGGGCAAAGCTGACAAGTCTCTGCCTGCCCTGTACCTGGCATGGCGCCCTGCCCGGGGTTGGCATTTAAACCAATTTGTCTACACGAATCAATAAACAAACAGGCGAACCAAGGATGGCGTGCCAACTTAAACAGCATATATTCAAACACTAAACCAATACTTGTGTTTACTCTGGGTGTTAATAAACATTTTGAATGTGCTGAGTGTCCTAAGTCACTTCAGTCGTGTCCGAGTCTTTGCGACCCTATGGACTGTAGACTGCTAGCATCCTCTGTCCATGGGATTCTCCAGGCAAGAATACTGGAGTGCATTGCATGCCCTCTTCCAGGGGATCTTCCCAACCCAGGGACTGAACTCATTTCTCTTATGTCTTCTGCACTGGCAAGGCAGGTTCTTTACCACTAGCACCACCTGGGAAGTGCTAAAGATTTTTATATTTAATTTAAAATTAATATCGAAATGATATGTTTTCATATAGAGTTCTAAGTAATTCATAATGGCTGGTTAACATCACTAATTTATTTAATTCAAGCAATTATATGATTATAACAATGTGTGATATGTCATATATTTTAAGTTCATAACTATAGTACTGTAGAATAAAGCTTAATCAAAAATACAGAAACTTTATATTCTTCATAGTGAGATGGTATCAGTCTTGTCAACAACAAAAACCCAGCTCTGACTTGCGTGAGTGAAAAGCACCATCAGATGTATCAGCCTCCACATCTTCCCTGGCCTCTTAATTCCACGCCTGCTTCTCAGCTCTTAGCAGCGAGGAACCTACGCTGCAATTGTTTGGTGAAAAGTTGGTAGAAAGTTGAGAGCAGCCTGAGCAGGCTCCAGGGGTGACATTTACTTGTTCCTTCAAGCAATTACTGAGCAGGAATGATTTGTAAGAAATTACTGTCAATGACTCGACAGCGAGTTTGGCCTCAAGAAGCCTAAGATCTAACATCATGGTTGGTAGGAGGCAGTGAGCTCGCTTCCCCTGGAAAGGGGACATTTGAGAAAAGGTTTGACTTCTTGTAATTAGCTTTTGAGTACAAGTTTTCATAACGCAATAAAATGAAGATCCTTGAAGATAACACCTTCTTGATGTACAGGTTCTAAGCTCAGTAGGAAACCTCGGCTTAATTAGCAAATTCATGAGTGAACTGTCTGCCTGATTGTTAAGGCCTATTGATTCACTTATTTCAGTGGTGGTTAGTTAACAAGTCGTGGGAGGAGGGGCACTCAGAGGCAGGTCTGAGCTGTTTACTTTTCGACCCTCACTCTGTTTCTCTCCTTCTCTCAACACATCTCCACGGAGTGTCCACCCTGGACCAGACAGGAGGGACAGAATGGCAAAAAAGGAACATCCTTCACAGCCCACAGGGGAGACAGATACTACTGCATGGTCATACAGGGCGCATCCCTGTCTGAGAAGTTCTGTGAAGGAAAAGGAAGGTTTGCTGTGGGGACTTAGTTCTGCTTTCTAGTATGATGAGGCCTATTTCTGGACAGTTAATGTCACAGATTTTTTAAGGATTATTAATAAGTCTGGGAACCATGGAGCAGTTCATCCTCCAGCTGCTAAGCACCAGCTGCAGACCGTGATGTGTGTCCCACACCGGGAGCACAGGAGGAAAGGTGGGGAGAGGGAGCTGGGAGGCTGGGATGGACGGCTGAGGGGAGCCAGTGCCCCGAGCAGATGGACGGGAAGGGTAGACCTGGGGAAGACTATGCCAATGGAAGCTGGAAGGCTCTGCAGGAAGAAGGGCCCTCTCCATCGCGTGTGTGCATGTGTGCTAGGTGGCTTCAGTCGAGTGCGCAACCTCATGGACTGGAGCGCCTCAGGCTCCTCTGTTTACGGGGATTCTCCAGGCAAGAATACTGGAGTGGGCTGCCGAGCCCTCCTCGAGGGGATCTTCCCAAACCAGGGATTGAATCTCTTTTGTCTCCTGCGTTGGCAGCTGGGTTCCGTAACGCTCATGCCACCTGGGCAGCCCTACCGGTGGAAGGCAAAAGTGAGGATGCCTCTGGCTGCCCAAGGGTCCAGGTGATGGCTGACGGTGGCTGGTAAGCCCGATCATGGTGGAGACCCCCACACCTCCCACACCGACACTGACCTCAGGGCCTGCAGCCAGTTCCAGCAACAGAAGGTTAAACTGCTCCATAGTTCCTAGACTTGTAAACAACCCTTCAGCAATCTGAGACCACTGATAGCCATCTAGCAGTGTGCTGCATCAGACTAGAAAGCATCCTTAGGCCCTGCTTCTTGCTTTGTTGGGATGTGTATCGTGCAACGGCCTGGCTCCCTTTCATCTTGATCTGCTGGTAGTCAGGAGTGACACGTGCCCTGACAACGGTACCACGTGACCCTTACATGACTCGGAAACTTGTCCATGGCCAGCCACACCCTCTGCAGAACCAGGACGTATCGGAATCTCTGTGGAAGTTGGGTGGCAGGGACTACAGAAGTGGTGTTTCTCCCCATTTAAGGTAATTGAACAGCAGTTCAGAAGTCATGTGATTTCCCTCTCCCCCCATTTTTGTATCAAGGTGATAAATGTCTGGGGACATTAACCCCAGAAGAGAATGAGTCCCTTTTGCCTGGTCTATCCCTCCATTAAAGCCTGGCAGGGTGGGGAAGGGAGTGGGATTCAGGACAATTCTGATACAATTCTGACACATATAAAGTGCTTATAGCTCCACCCAAAATGGTGCTTTCCCACCTAATGATCCTGTTTCCCCCAGAGTCATGGTTCTGTGCTTTCCTAAGCAACTTTTTTTTTTTTAACTGGGTATCAACAATAAAAGGATGTAGGGGGAAAAACCTATATATATTTCAGACCCATGTGGCATATTGAAACCACCCACAGAATTTCTCTTCCCTTAATCTTCCACAGAGTGAGAAAATCCCACAACATTCACTGCCAGAGTGCTAAAGAAAGGTACACAGTCTAAGGAAATACATACTTATAAAAATCAAGGAAAGAAAATCTGGCATGAGATACATGGCTAGGCTTGACAGCTGATTTTACTTATAAAACCTTAAGTATGAAGCAGCAAAATCCTCAGCAGTTTCCCTAACATCCTCATATCCACAGAGAATCAATTCAAATAGCAGTCTTTTTTCACTTCTGATCAAAAAGCAGTTGAAACCTCTCCTAATGAGACCAGGTGACACTGGATGAGGGAGTGCTGAGGCTGATTCACTGGGTGGGAGATGGGCGTGAGTCCTCGACTGCGAGGAAACACCCCAAGGGCCAGCACATCCTCTGGCAGCTGGGAACACTTCCCAACCAGGGACAGTGGTCACTGGTTCAGGGCGTTTAACCAAATCTCAGAACAAGGGAGAGGGAGAGAGGGCAGAGAGGAAGGAAGTCTTTTAACAAAGACTGCACTTGGCCTTCCTTGAACTCCTCCAACCTCATGCCTGGCATTCCTTCAGGACTGAGAAAAGCTGAGCTCTCACAGAAAACAAACAAACAAACAAAAACACATCTCAGATACAATGGGAAGAACATAGCAAACATCAGTCAAGCTCTATCAGCCCAAGTCAAATAAGCAAGATGAAAAGAAAAGGTTATGGTTACCGTGAATATATTTTCTAACAAGACAAGGGAAGAAAGGAAGTACAACAGACCAATAAGCCCATCCTCAGAAAAAGCCTAATTCAAGGAAGAGAAGAATGTCTCATGCTTTGTGACATGAATTCAATTAAAAAGATACTGAACCATGGCAGGCTAGAACAATACAATAAGATGAAAAAGGAGATTTTAGATCCCAGGAAACAAAATGAGGTCCAAACAGTGTTATTTATAGATAATACAGGGATTAGAAATAGCAAGTAATAGAACATAATCTCTTGAAAATGGAATCATTGACCTAGAGGAAAAATGCAAGATAGTAACAGTGAATAAATGTGAAAAAGGCAAGAACAAGCAAATGAACAAACAAAAAAACTTGGAGAAATGCTAACCGATATGGAAAACAAACTCTTCAATAAAAGGACAACTGGTATCTCTGAACAGAGATCATAACAGATGGAACAAAAGACATATTCATAAAAAAAGAATTTCCAAGAAATAAAAGAGAAAAGAAGGGAATCCCCAGATTAAAATGTCAGGAAATTTTTATTCAGAATGCAAAACACCAAGACACAACCTAGTTGTACTGAACTTTTAGATTAAAGAAAAAACTCTTCAGGCACTCAGACAGAAAATGGAAATCTTGCCTTCAGTCATGATGGCAAAATCTAGAAAGTTCTAGACTGGGGGAACAAACACAGTGACCAACCTCCCTCATCATAATGTTCTTCGAGAAGAAAGGCAGCAGGCAGACCTCCTCAAACACAGACACGATTATGGAAACACAGCACCTAGAGAAGCTTCTTGAAAACAGCTGCTTGCAGGCAAAGTCCAATCAATTAAGAGATCATTCAAAATAAACAGAAATAGTAGTAAGGGTCTTCCCCAGGGGCTCAATGGGGAAGAATCTGCCTGCAATGCAGGAGACACAGGAGGTGCAGGTTTGGTCCTGGGTCGGGAAGACCCCCTGGAGAAGGAAACGGCAACCCCCTCCAGTACTCTCGCCTGGAGAATCCCATGGACAGAGGAGCCTGGCGGCTACAACCCATGGGGCTGCAGAGAGTCGGACACGACTGAGCGACCAAGCAGGACAGCAGGAGGGCTGGGTCTGAGCCTCTCCTGGGCGAAAACTGGGAGCGCTTTCAGCCCACCACTGGGCCAGCTTGCACAGTGACAGCTGGGTTCCCACACAGTCCTTCTGAAATCATTTAAGAAGATAAACTTAGCTTCTAGAGGTAAAGAGAGGTCTTGGAGGTCCATTTCCTTTTAGATTTTTGGTTTGGAGAAACCATGACAAGGGAGGAGTGGTTGATGAAAACCCCATCAAGCTGATGTGGGGGTAAGAGGTGTTATCCTAGAAATAAACTGCCAGTCACCACAGTCCTGGGGCAACAGCTACAGCGTGCACGGCTGGTTCTGAACCCACTCCTCCTGTGTGGGCCACGTTTCCCCAGGGATTGCGTTTAACCTTAGTTTTGCTTGATCAGAGAGAGGGGTTCTGTTTTTTGTTTTTATTCTTTTTATATATATATATTTTTTTTTTTTTTAACACAAAAATATCTAAATCTCAATACAACACCTAAACTGTGCTCTCGCTGGAGGTAGCTACAGTGGAGTTTCACAGATGGTAATTTGGTCTGAAGTCTCCATCAGCCACAGGGGTTGAAACACCCATTCACAAAGCCCTTGTTTGGCATCCTGTGGCTCAGCTGGTAAAGAATCTACCTGCAATGCGGGAGACCTGGGTTCGATCCCTGGGTTGGGAAGATCCCCTGGAGAAGGAAAAGGCTACCCACTCCAGTATTCTGGCCTGGGGAATTCCAGGGACAATATAGTCCATGGGATTGCAAAGAGTTGGACATGACTGAGCAACTTTTCTTCTTTGGCATCCTCCAGTTTTCTGTTCTGAAGAAGGAAGTGGTACCCAGCTCCCCAGGGCCCATGACGGTCCAACAATCCTCAGACACACTTGCTGCTCCATCTCCCCCGGTTACAAGGGCCCCCATCCCCCCTCTACCACACGCGGCCTCCTAGGAGGGGTGGGGAGCCCTGCTCTCACTCCCACCTGGTGCTGCTTGAAATTCCACCCCCAGAAGTCAGTTCTGTGAGTCACCCCACTTGTGCTCAGGAAGTGAGAGGCCTCCTCATTTCTCACAGTCTAAAGGCTCACACTCATGTGGGTGACTCCCCACACTGTGTCTCCAGCCAGTGGTTTGCAAGAGTGTTTTTTAACTGAATCCTTCCTCCCGTCACCCTTCCCAACTCCAGGCCTATGACAAACCTCTACTTAAAACATGATCAAAATGGAGCCTTTTCTTCAGTGTCAGAGAGAGGCTGGAACCCACGAGCCTGGCCTCCCCTGGGTCCTGTCCTCTCCTGCAGGTCAGCACCCAGCCCGGGCCTCACTGACTACTGACCCCATTCTAGAACTGTCCTCTCTCCTAACACACATTCCCCAGGTTCCCACGGGGCGTCATTCAGAAAGTCCTTCGAAACAGACAGACCAAACCCAGACTGTCAATTCCCAGAACCTGTCGATGGCGCCCGTGTCCCCGAGGCCCCGTGACTTGCGGTCTCCCTCACCGAGTGTCCCCCACCTTCCTCTTTCACCAGCCTCTCCCCCGTACCTTCCTCTTTCCAGGCCACCACGGCCCCCTGTCCTCCCATTTCCAATCAATTGTTGGCACCAGAGGTCTCTATTTTCCAAGAGGTGCCTCCAGTTAAAGACATGCCAGCGCTCTCTTCTGCCTGCGGGGTTAAGGCTCCATTTCTCACCTTGGCCTTCGAAGGCCATTCACCTGTGACCAGAGCTGACTGGGGCTTTGCTGCTCAGGGGGTTCCTCGAGGGTCCGTGACTCACCCTGAAATCTGCCCTGCTTCTCGAGCCTGCCCACACGTCCCCCTCAAGTCCCCAACCAGCATCACCATTGATCTGCATTTGTTCTGATCTGCCCAGAATCCTGCTCCATTCTTCCACTGTCAAAAGTGTATGGAGATCCTCTTCCTACCTCAAAGTCACTGTCAGCTTCAAAAGCCTTTACTGATCCGTTCCCCGGACGTAACCCCCCCCACCACCATCCTCTTTCCATATTATCTTTATAACATCGTCTTCACATTGAGGGGTTTTAAACGTTATCACATCCTGGTGTTACTCTGTGTTCCTAAAATCCTGTGTGTGTGTGCGTAAGTGCCCAGTCGTGTCTGACTCTTTGAGACCCCATGACTGCAGCCCACCAGGCTCCTCCGTCAGGAGGAATCACATATCCATGTGACTCTCCAGGCAAGAATACTGGAGTGGGTTGCCATGCCCTCCTCCAGGGGATCTTCCCAACCCAGCGATCAAACCCAGGACTCCAGCACTGCAGGCAGATTCTCTACTGTCTGGATCACCAGAGGCCCATAAAACCCTGCGAGACATGTAGAGGACGGGACTTAGGCTGCGAGGCGTGTCCCACACGGCGACAGCTCACAGGTCTGTGAACTCGCACCCTCCCGCTGAGGCCCCGCCCAGTGCCTCTGCCCTCCCACCTGCCCAGGTGTTATCCTAGTTACAGTCCCATGTCGGGCTGGACCTCACGGCTGTGGTGTGCCCACCGTCTACGCTGGAGGAGAGGGTTACCCCACCCTGACAGCACCGGCACAGATACAGTCAGCAGTGAAAACAGCCATCGCGGCCGCGCCTACGCCGTGCTGTGTGCCTCACGGGCCAGCTGCCCTGCACTTCCGCCTTTGAGACTCTGAAGTAGCCCCCACGAGGAGCACTGTGAGCTTTGGACAAAGGAGCCACCGAGGCTCAGCAAGGCTGCTGGGGCTGGGGGTCTGGGTGGTGCGCCCTCTGCCCTGGGCTCACTGACCAGCCATCCCCGAAAGACACAGAGCAGATCTCACCAGGTGCCCCAGACCTTGCAAAACCACCTCTAAGAGCAGCCCCTGGGAGAAGACCTGGTATTTTCAAGAGGCCTATCAGAAAACCATTCCGAGAGACTTGAGAAATGTCAAGCTTGCTGATTTTTGCTTTTGTTTTTTGAAAAAATGAGATATGTTTCCTTTCTTCTTCCCTCAACTAATCACCGTCTAAAGCACCCGCATGGTTGTTCTTTTAAGAGACAGGAAACATTTAACTCTTACCAACAAATTTCTGAGGCATAGAGCTCTTACGTTTGGCGACGTTAGATATTCTTTCCAGCACGAGGGAGCGCTCCGATCCCATCTTGCACAGATCTTCTGCCATTTCACTGTGATTAGTTTCTTCTTTAATGACTAAAGTCAAAGACAGTTAGAGAGACCAGTTTAGAAACGCTTACAGTCAAAGGATTCGGTCTCGTCACCCAGCGTTAAATCTGACATGTGTTAAGTGCCTACGAGAGCCAGGATCTTCACGGAGATTATTTCTAATCTTCCCAGCAACCCTGCCAGCCAGACAGAGGAGGATCAGAGCTGATGACACCTTCCTCATCCCCTAAGATCAGGGAACAAGCACCACCACTCTCCCCAGAAGCTGGACTGTGATTTTACAACTGTGTCCCATTGACAAGTCCTCTTAACGTTTCAAATACTCCCCAGGCCACTCACTCAGTCACTCCTGACAACAGCCCTCCTACGAATGAATGAACTCTCAGCTAGAAATGACCTAAGGGTCTGACTCTGTCACATGAACAGAGACGTAGCAGAAACGTGGCCACGAGGATGCTGCAGCCAACCCTGGCAAAAGGGGGAAAGAAGTCGGGAGTTCCTGGGCCCTGAACACAGCAACCTGGAAAGTCAAAGAATGAGCACTGTAGGGAATCTAGAAATTGTGGAGATGAGAGGTGATCTCGGGAGTACTTCTAGCTGACCTTTGCTTTGCTATGTTATCCCTTTCTTTCCATAATTGAAGATACAGATATATATTCTGCATAGCCTGTGTTCTAATTTTTATGGTTGGATTTTTGAAAATATCAATTTTTCATCTCCCTGCAATTTCTCCTAATATATAAGAAGCTAAAAATCTAAACTGATTTTCTTCCTAATGGCTAATCAGCTCTTCCCAAACCAATTCTGTAGAGTTCACTAAAATCGCATACGCTGTGTGTCTTCCTTTCTTATACAGGACATGTTGATTGATCACAGCGTCTCTGGGAGGTTTATCCATTTCTATTATTGATTTATCTGCCTATTCTTCAAAGAGTTCCAGATGACAGCAATGTCTTAATATAACATTGGACATTACTTTTATTTTTTAAAAATGCCAATTCCCGCTTTTATTTTCCCAGATACACTTTATATTATTCCAAAAAGATTGGCAAATTGACAATATTTGACACCAATTTTGTGCTGAAAACATCCCATGACCCCAGAAGATACACATGCAGCATTCAGACCTTTCTCCCCCATGGCTCCCCTGTGTTTTCTGGCCCCAGCATAGTTTGTGAGGCCAGAAGCAATTCTGAGCATTTCTAAGCACTTTTTTCTTTAGCTCTCCTTTAAAAAAAAATTTTTTTTTGGCGGTCAATGAAGCTTAGTGGGATCTTAGTTCCCTGACCAGGGATCGAATCTGTGCCCCCTTCACTTGTAGTTCAGAGTCTTAACCACTGGACTGCCAGGAAAAATCCCTAATTCTAAGCATTTTATGTTTTCATTGCTTCACAATCAATGCCACGTTGAAAAAATATATTTCAAATCAGTTATTACCACTGGTAAATGTTATTTTTTAGCCTTGGTAATATGGGATTCTTATTAAATGGGTAAACATAATAGCCCACTTCCTGATTTATAGGAGGGGTATGAATAAAATCCATAGAAGTCAATTGCACCGGTTGTCTTTTTGATCAAGCTGATATGCTTCTTGATGTGTCCATCCTTTTCTGCAAACGCAGACTCTGTGGCCTGCCCAGGGTGCCTACAGCACCTCGAGCTGGGTTTCCTTTCTGCCAGGCCAAGGGGCCTCCTGAGACCCTCAGAGCCACCACAGTGAGGGACCACAAGCCCTGACCTCCCAGACCACTGGCTTCTCTGCCCTCTGATATATTTCTCCCTAAGCTTCTAATGCAATCTACACACCTAAAGGCTCAAGAGAAACTTACGTTTTCTATAAAGACATTAGGAAATTACAGTGGATGACCAGAAAGCTTCTTCCTAAATAAAATCATACTCAGAAAAATTAAATCTTGGCCAAGTCTCATAGGCCAGGCTTTGTCTTTATCTAAGCCCAAAGAATGGCCTCAACCTAAGGTGGACTGGAGGGGTCAAGCCTGTTTCAGGGCCCATGTGCACGCTCGTGAGGCCTGGTCCTGGGAGGCGTGGGAGGGATGCATGTGAGAAATGCACAGAAAGTGTAGGTCAGCCGGCCCCAGCCCAGTGAAGCCCTCACCCGCTGCCTGCCTGCGCCTTGACACAGCCTTGAAAGACCTTCTTCAGAGGGCGTTTATGGATCCTCCACAAGCGTGAACTTCACATGAGAAGCCTTCTCATCTCCTGAGAACAGGACTGAAAGCCACTGTGTGGAATTCCAAACCATCTGGCCCCCAAAGGGAGTCAGTTCACATCTTAGGACTAAATGAACTCTGACGGTAGGGTACTATGTAACATATACATCCCTGACAGAGAAGTGTGTTGACACGGACACAGGAGACTCCAGCCCCAGGGAGTCCCTAATGTGTGCATTCAGGTGAGGGCATGATGCAGATCTCTGCTCAGAGCTTTTCCATGAGGTCGGTCAGGCAGGAATCGCCTAACTCCCACCTAGGTGGGCCTACTGGCATTCGGAAACAGAGTCAGAAAGGAAGCTTGCATCCAGGGCTCGGTGAAGGAGAAGCTCCCAAAGTCCACTGGACATTAGGGCTTGTATGCTTAGTCATGAAAACAGTGGAGGCAACCTGTGAACTCTGATGGGGCCTCTGGTTCATCTTGTCATCCCAATTCCACGTGTACAATTTTGGAGGGAGATTTAGATTACTATCTTAACAGAGTACCCTGGACTGCAAGGATATTAAACCAGTCCATCCTAAAGGAAGTCAGTCCTGAATATTCACTGGAAGGACTGATGCTGAAGCTGAAGCTCCAATACTTTGGCCACCTGATGCAAAGAACTGACTCATTGGAAAAGATCCTGATGCTGGAAGAGATTGAAGGTAAGAGGAGAAGAGGAGGATGAGATGGTTGGATGGCATCACCGACGCGATGGACATGAATTTGAGCAAGCTCCAGGAGTTGGTGATGGACATGGAAGCCTTGTGTGCTTCAGTCCATGGGGTCGCAAAGAGTCTGAGAAGACTGAGCAACTGAACTGAACTGATCTTCAGTAGGACTTGGCATGGTATATAATATGTCCTCAGTAAATATTTGTTGGGTAAATAAATGACTTATTTAATCATTCATTAAAAGCACTGACTTCCAAGACCCATTTTTTTTAACAGAAAAATGTAATATCAAGTATTTATATTTTATTTTAAAGGACTATAATCATCTTCTCATCCCTTAATCTCCTACTCGAGGGTCTGGCCACAAATTGATAAATTATTATTATTATTATTGATATCTACTTTCCTCTCTTCCACTAAGCTACAATGCCTTTGTTCTAGAAACAGAACTTACACTTTGAAGGAAGCTAAAGGATAACTTGATGCAATCTCCCCATTTTATAGGTGAGAAGATTAAGGCCCAGTGAAATCAAATGTTGGGCCCAGATTGACCCCAGATCAGTGGGGGACATCCTACTCCTTGATGCCAAGACTACTCAATTTTTAGGACTTTATTCTGATACTGACTACTCTTTCCTCTGATCTCAGCTGCCATTAGTAATCTGAGCATTACTGAATTCACTTAATAGCACTGAAACACACTTAAAAATGGGGCTTCCCTTTCAGTCGGTAAAGAATCTGCCAGCAATGCTGGAGGCCTGGGTTTGATCCCTGGGTCAGGAAGACCCCCTGGAAGGCAACCCACTCCAGTATTCTTGCCTGGAGAATCCCATGGACAGAGGAGCCTTGCAGGCTACAGTCCATGGGGTCACAAGAATCAGACATGACTTAGCAACTAAAATCACCACCCCACTTAAAAACAGGATAGTAAGCCTCATGTTATATGTATCTAAACACAATAACAAAATAAAATAAATGTTAAAATTTAAAACTAATAACCTGAGAGTTCCCTGGTGGATTTTTCTTTATGAGCCATTTATTAAAGTCAGAAAGCTGAATGAGACTTGATAAAATCTCAACTATTCATTTAGCATCTACTTCATCTGGTGCTGGTGGTAAAGAACTTGCCTGCCAAGCAGGATATGTAAGAGTTGAGGGTTCAGTCCCTGGGTTGGGAAGATCCCCTGGAGGAGAGCATGGCAACCCACGTCAGTATTGCTGCCTGGAGAATCCCATGGACAGAGGAGTCTGGTGGGCTACAGTCCATAGGGGCGCAGAGAGTCAGACACGACTGAAGTGACTTAACATGTACACATACCCCCATCCAATGAGGATTTTTCCAGCAGTCATGCTAAATGAGTAGTGTTTTGAAAGAGGTGAACTTGAGCTGATCTATCCATAAATTTCATGTCTTAGAAAATCAGAAAGGTGCTTTTGACAATACTGCTGGCCCTTGAGTAAATTCAGCCCTTTCCATAGTCTCTATGTTAACATCTTTCACTTCAGCTTGTCTCAGATCAGAGCCGAACATCTTGAGATGCAACAGATACACAGCAAAGCATCAGAGCACATGAGGGAAAAATGAAGCTTCCCTTGAATCCTGTGACAGCTGCAGGACCACAGACGGTCAGGGTCTTTCAATTATCCCATGTCCCAGGCAGATGCCAACACCAGTGAATGAAAACATGGCCTGAACACTCTTATTTGATCCACTTCATGAAAAAAAATCGTTTTTAGAGCCAGATTTCACATCTTATTTTGATGACTAAGCATAAGGAAAATCTATACTCCTAGGTTAAAAAAAAACAAAAACCACCACCAAAAAAAAAAAAAAAAAAAAAAACCCAGAAAAGTAAAAACCTGAGGCTTTCAAGGGTCACTATGGTCTCAGAAGCTGATCCAGATTTTGAGAGGGAGGGGTTTCATGAGCACGTGCTCCCTGGTGAGAGCAAGTCTGGGAGCGCTGGGAAGCAGGAGGCACTCCTAGTGAGACTTTAGTGGCATAAGCGTCCCTCCGTGCCAGCTGCAGTGGCTCCCGGGCCTGTGCTCTGGCCCAGCTGCATCCCAGTGGGCAAGGGGCCCTCCGTGCCCCTGGCTGGGGGGGGCCGGGGCCAGGCAGGTGTGCCCGCGGGGCTTACCTGGGTAGAGCGCGCCTGGGAGGCCCATGCTTTGCAAGTAGTTGTGGCAACGCTCTTTGTGTTCCTCCAAAGAGCTCCGCTGTTTATAGCTTCGGCCACAATATCCACATTTGTGAGGCTTACCAACTGCAGGAGACACAATGGAGTTCGAGACCCCGATTAAATAGCCGCCGTACGTGTCATGGGAAGGCATGCAATACACTTCTTATCAAAAAGACAAAAAAAAAAAAACCTCTCTATTCTTGAGAGCTAAAAGTATCATGGACTCAGTTAAGATGACTGAATTTAAAAATGTGAATGATCAGGGGCTTCCTGATTGTACCAAGAACTCCTGCCACCTTTTTTTCATTTTAACTTGTTCACTGTCCAGCCTATCAAACTCTCTCCATTTAAACCACGAAGTCTGTCTTTTAACTGAAGAAAACAAAGCACTGCCGTGTGATGCCAGGGATGCCCAACACCAGGGCACATATGTGCAGAAGATGTGCCCACGTTGGCAGGATAATACACCCATTCAGCTCCAAAGTCAGCCTCTTGTCCACTTCTCCACCAGGTCTGGCCTGACACTGGTGCCAGATCTAATGCAACCAAAGTGAATTCAACTCCTAAATTAGTGCTAAACTAATAATCTGAGGTCTCAAATAAACCACAGTGGATAAATAGACTAATGAAATGAGCATTCTGTTTTCAAAATGTATTTTCTGGTTCTAACTTGGAAAAGCTCTATTTTCTCTTCCAAAGACCCTTAGAAGAGCATGGGTTCTCTTAAATAGAGTGGCCCTGTCCAACAGAATTTACTAGGAAGAAGGAAGTGCTCTCCCCCTGGCTGTCCAGTACGGCAGTCACGAACCATGTGTGAGCACTGGTCGGTCAAAGTATGGTCTGTGCCACTAAGAGCAGAAATTTGAATTCTAATTTTAAGTAATTAAAAAGTAAATCCCACCTATGGCTTGTGGCTACTGTATTGAGCAGTATACTTCTATACAGAGTTTAGTTCTCCCTGAATTTTATTGAGTGATATTTTACAAAAAGACTAGCACAAATTCATATCACACCTATACTTAAAGATTCTAATAGATAGCACTTTAGGAGATGAAATGGATAAAGGATATTCTATTAATTTCCATCCTAAAGCCAGAATCTTCTCCTTTTCTGCTCATATTGTTAGATTTCACATATTTGAGAGTATTATGTCAAAATCCATGCCACCCACATGTTTGGTGAAATGGCTTAACCAAAGCTTGTATTGGTTAAATCTCTTATTTAGGTGAACAGAAGCTACAGTTTATGAAAACCAGGATGAAAACCAAAATTTGACTTCTGGAATATTTACTAGTGGGGAAAAAGAATAATTCTTTATCTGGAGAAAGTGCTGTATCCCTAACATCAGAAAAACAACACTGAAATATATAATGTTGCTTAAAACTGCACTTTTTGTTGAGTATGCCCTTTAGAAACTAATAGAATCAAGATAACTCACTCCATGTCCTTTCTGGGAAACACTGTAACTTCAGCAAACTCCTATACATATGGCCTGAAAACCCATTTCTGTCTGAATACCCATTTCTGTCTGAGTATATGATTGACTTTAACTCTGGAACATAAGTTTTTGGAAGCAACTTAACTACAGTGTATCTTGAAGTGTAGCCCACTATTTTGTAGGAAGGAAGGTCACTAGGCAAACTTGCAACTTCCAAAGAAAGCAGAGAAGAAGGGAGGGGGACCGGTCCCCACCATTCCAGACCACCCGAGTCCCTCTTATTAGTATGGGACAAGTCCTATAGCCGGAATCTCAGGCCACCACCAGTTGCCAGGGAAAGCTACCAGGTTGATGGCAGTTTTTAGTGGAATGGGAGTGCGGCCACTTCACAATGGAATAGAACACAACCACACTTGGGTTTGTAGACAAAGTCTGAAGTCTTCGTTTTGTTCCCATGAAACCACCTTGTAGAACCTAAATCACTGTTGTTTTTTTCTTCCCCCAGGAGCTGTGTGTCAGTGGCACTTTCTGATGGCAGAATCACCAGCAGCCCTGGATCAGTGATGGTTCTCTCCCTGTGATTTTATCTATTTTCTCACCAGTGAATCCTTAATGGAAATAAACTGTCCAAAGTGCACGATGTTGTTAGCCATACTTGGAGCAGGACACCATCATGCCACAAATGAAATAAGCAGGGATGGAGCCAGAATAACCTAAAACATGGCATTAGATGATTCTAATTTCACTACAGGACTGATACACAGGAGGTTTCTGCTGCCAGTCAGAGTGACCTGGGATGACCATGGTAGGCGTCAAGCTAAGACTGAGTCTGGTTTTTCTACCAAAGGGGTGCTGTGTGTCCTCCCAACTCCAACGCAGCATCACCACCAGCTGTGCCGGCGTCGGCTTGCCTCTGAAGGACCTGGTGGAGTGGCTCTGCCCCAGACCTCGTGGTGGGCTCCGTACACAGACGGCGTACAGATCTGGAGCCTGTGGGGACCCTGTGAACCTTCACCTCTCGGGGGACAACACATGCACTCCTTATCGTCCACGCTGCAAGCACCCGAGAATGCTCGCTGTCACGGGGTCAGCGTCCCACTTTGGGGAAATGCCGTCTTCCTGTCCCCTGCAGCAAAGTCCTCCCAGCTCTCAGCAGTGCCTGGCCCAGGGTCACCCACTGATCTCCCGCTGTGGGAGGGGCCACTGGCTTCAAGTGGCTCCTTCCTCAGGAGAGTTTAGGCCGCTCACCCACACCACACCATCCTGGTTTTCTAAGAGCATCTAGGAGCCTCCTCTATGCTGATGGTCAGGAAGGAGGTCAGAACAAGGGGAGATGGCTGGGCCAACACCTGAGACCCAGACCGGCAGCCTGCCCCCCACAACTGTCCCCAGGGCCTCCCGAGGAGCCCCTGGAGGAGGACATCCCCCATACTCATAAAGGCCCCCCAGCCCCTTTCTAGGACCACTCACAGAGCCACACATTCACTGAGAACTTTTCCAAAGGTGAACCCAGAAACCTCTCCCTGGAGACCCGCTGTCTCCTCCCTGCGCCCCTGCCGTCCCTACACGCGCATCGTGGCTCCCAGTACACACTGCGGCTTTGCTGTCTCTTCCCTGAGGAGCTCAACGAATGTGTGAAGGCCTCAGACCCTGGCATTAACTACACTCACTATCTAAAGGGAGAGACCGCCTGAGTCCAGGCCAACCTTCTCCAAGGACATGCACCCCCTCCTCTGGGGCAGGGGCCTCTTTGAGGTGCTGCCCTGGGGGTGATGGGGAGCTGTTGGTCTAGACGGTAAGCCCCCTGAGGGCAGGGGAAGGGCGTGATGTCAGACGCCCCCAGGGACAGCACACAGGTCTCACTCTGTCTTCCTCTTACCTGGAAGATCACAGGGTCACTGGATGATGAAACGCCAAGGAATTTTCTATGGACGCAGGAGATCTAGTATAATCAGAGGTTGATCTGGGCTCCCAGGCTGGAGCACTTCAAATACTGTGGAGCATTCACAGGTACCATCATCTCACTGAGACCCCAATTACCCGGATGGGTTTATCACATTCTGGTAACAGCTCCAAACTGGCCTCTCCCACTGGGGCCTCAGTCAGCCTCTGGTGTGACTGCTATATTGGGTCCCTTTGGGCCCATTTGGGGGTGCACCAGGCGACACCAATCAGGACAGAATCATCTTTGCAAAGAAAACTGTCCCCATGATGACCCCTGACATGCTCGGCCTTAAACAGCAACGAGGGTGGCTTCACAATGTTCATGGAGAGATGTATTTGGAAACTTCAGGGCATTGGCAGCAGACTCAGGACAAGTGTAACCTGGTAAAATCTTTGCAAAGAAAAACCCACTTACCTGAAAGATGGAATGAGGAGGGCTGCTCTTAAAATATTCTAAGATGAGACGTGTGTGTGTGTGTGTGTGTGCACGAGCTTGTGTAATATTTCCCCACCCTTTTCCTCTGGTTTGTTGGGAGACCAGAGCACGTGGGGGGAGGGCGCTGATGCTCCAACTGGGTGCAGCCAATGCCCAGGGGACTGATCCTGGGAGTAGGGCTGCCCTAGAGGGAGCCAGGCGCCCCCGAGCTGAGCCCGCCTGCGCCCACCCAGGGGACCTACCGGAGTGTGTCCTCAGGTGGCCGGTGAGGGCGTCCCGCCGGCGACATGCGTAGTTGCAGAGGTGGCACTTGAAGGGCTTCTCCCCCGAGTGCAGCTTGATGTGCCGGAGCAAGTTGCCTTTCTGCGTGAAGGAGGCCCCGCACTGGTTGCACTGGAATGGTCGCTCTCCTGGGGGGACAAGAGGGAGAGCGGTGAGAGCGGAACTCAGCGGGGACAGAGGAGGACACGGCGAGAAAGTTGTTTCCCACGGGCCCGGTGACTTCCACCGGCTGCAGGTTTGATAGAACATGAGGCTTTCAGACTAAACCTGCCAGTTCCTTAACGCTTCACTGGTTGGGTCAATTTGATCTGAAAATCTAATTTTTTTTCCCTAAATCAGAATGGCACATCACAATGCAAATTCAAACTCATTTAAATAAAGTGACTGCAACATTTTGTGATGAAGAGCCACTCTTCCTGATCAGCAGTTTTGGAATAAACCAATATCCAATTTTGCGTGTTGTGGCATTTGGTGGGGGTTTTAATGTGGCTTTTTTCAAAGGGTCTTTAAAATATGCCACTGAAGCAGCAAAATAAAAAGGAAACTCATTAAAAATGCATTTCAGGATCACAAGTTCATTTCAGCGTTACATTCTTATATTTAAATGAAAGGCACTTCATTATAACAGTTATAATAACTTCTTTTCATTTACATTTTCCCTGTATTTTCCCTTTCAATTTCTTCTCCATTACCTGTCTGTCCCTATGCAGGCAAATCAGGAAAGAGACAGACAGAGTGTGAGGGTGGGAGGGAGAGAAGGAGAAGGACTGCATAAAATGAGAAGTTGAGAAACTGAAGGGAAGGTTTCCATGTTCCAAAGAGAAGTCCTGCATCTCCCTCAGAATCTGAGCTGCACTGAGGGTTCTGGCTTTTTCCTTTGCCTCATAATCCTGCAGCCTTGAGGCCAGTATCAAGTCTATCCATGTCTACTGAAGTCAGTTTTATTTTCAGTGCAGATATTCTAAGAGATGAAATTCAGTTATTACTAGGAACTCGTTCAGGAGCAGAGCCACTGGAGTGGTTCACAAAAGCAACAGCAGAACAAAACAAAAAACCCGCTGGATTCTCTGCTGTGCGTCAGCTCACATCCCCAGACTCTCGACCCAGCAAAGGGATGAACGGGCAGATGTGGTCAAGAAACACACTACTGACTAGTCACAGGACCCAGAACCTAAGATCAGTGAATATTTAACTCTCACTTAAAACAGGGACACATTTGTCATGTTTAAGTAAGTATCAAAACTCTTTAAAAAGCGCTTTTTTTTTAGACAAAAAGCTTTGTATGACCATGATATCTGGTATTGAGATACTATGAAAATGCATTTCCTAGTAACAACTTTACCTTAGGGAAGAAGAATGTATTAAAATGTATTTTAACAATTTTCCCAATCGATCTGCATGATTTTGGTGAACAAGACAGCACTTATCAAGAGCAATTAGAAGTGCCTCTGGTACTACTAAATCTACACCAGATTAAATTTAGAAGCCTGTGTTGGCATCTGAATTTCAAGATTATCATCATTCTTAAGTGGGAGGGATAGATGTGCTACTGGAAAAACTGAAGCGAACTTACAATGATATTCAGTTATAGACCATTTGGAATCCTAACAATAACAATATATCTGGAATTTTCCAAAGTCTATATCTAGATTGGATCTGATTGAGCAGAGGAAGCCCAGCAGATGGAAAGGTGATGGTAAAAGTAACTAGCTTCCTCAATCTCTGAGTTAAAAGTCCACACTAGATGAGGAGATTACAATAGCTAGTAGCAGGCAGACCCAAGAAGCATCTAATAGAGACTGTTAATTTTCTACTAGAAACACTTCTGGGCCTTCTCCCACACACGTGTGTGTGTGTGTGTGTGTGTGTGTGTGTGTGTGACTGTGGTCTTTAGCTCCAAGCAGACGGAAGAAGGAAGAAGTCAGGGTGACTGGCAGGGCGGACCCGTAGGCTGAGTGTTCTAGAGAGCTAGGCGGTCCAACGCCATGAATACGGTCATGGCAAGGGTGTGGGCCATTCCTGGTGACCAATGTGCCTGGTTGTGATCCCTGCCCATTGTAAAGTGCCCCCTCTACGCTAACGAGGTGCTGGGCCCCCGGCTTCTCCTGAGGTCTGAAAGGTTGGAGGGGACACCGGGTCAGACCTGCCATCCGGCCAGTGCCTGTCAGCGGAGAGAGAAAGGACAGATGGTTACAGTCATGGATCCCTTCAGCAGAACAGGGCAAGCAGGGACCGTGACTTCGAGAGTGAAATTTGTCTTCTAATTTGAGTCATCGGCTCTCATGTAGCCTGCTGGGCCTGGCGTCTTAATTCCACTGGCAAGCTTTCCTGGAAATCTATTTGTTTCTGACTGTTGTGCCGGCATGACTATGTAACATGGGGCCTGGGGACTGAAGTGATGACAAGGAATTCAACCCAAGGTGGCTTCCCTTTGGAGGTGTTAGCAGGAAAGGGCCCCGGAGCTAGATGGCAGGAGTCGGCTCACAACACCTGGTCCTTCGCTGCCACTGCCAACTGCTCGTCCCTACAGCATGCAGCTGATGGCGAGTGAGCCCAAGCTCCTCCAAGGCTGTATTCCTTTCTAGTTAATTGGGATGAGGAGTTTTGTATCATTAATTCAAAATTTAGTTTGCAATCTCAGTGACTCTATAATCTGTCATTTCAGGGGCTCTCTGAAGAATGCCTAAGCTTCTCTTCATAACTTAATTGAGTAAAAAAGAAAGTCCATGGGCACCTACATCATAAAATTTCTGATCCTATATCCGAAGAAAGTGAATTCCTAAGTATACTGAGCCACCAGGAGTTGCCTGGGCTCACTGCAGTCATGCCCTGGGTCAGGAATCAATGCCGAGGCTACGGCTGTCCAGTCACTAAGCCATGGACAAATCTTTGCAACTCCATGGACCTCAGTCCACCAGGCTCCTCTGGTCATGGGACTTTTCCAGGCAAGAATACTGGAGCGGGTTGCCATTTCCTTCTCCAGGGCATCTTCCCGACCTGCGGATTGACCCAAGTCTCCTGCTTGGCAGCTGGATTCTTCACCACTGAGCCACCTGGGAAGCCCAGCACCCAATGTGAGGCTATGTTCACAAAGCCTAATGGCTGCACCTTTTCACCTACAGATGGGCACAGAGCAGGCACAGGGCTGGACAGGATAACCATAATTTGGACATTTTTCTCGATGCTTCCTATTAAAAATCCTATCATTTAGAACCAGGACGCTGCACACCTGCATGGTGGGGTGCTCCCTGCATTACACGCTCCTCTCCTAACAGCCTCCCTCTGATTCTCCCGGGAGCCCTCAGGTTGGCAGGAAGGTGTTACTATGACGCTTGAGTTAAAAAAAGGAGATTGAGCAGCAAACGTGGAGAAGTGAAATGACGGCATCAACGGACCACTCAGACGAAGGCAGCCACAGCCCTGGCAGGGCCAGTGATGAGGGCGTGGCTCCGGACGGGCGGGTCTTTCAGAAGGAAGCCCGGGGTGCCCAGCCCACGGGGTGGCAGGAGGTGCAAGGCCAAGCTCCCTGGGGGAGGGCCCTCTGAAATGGCCCTGTTTCTGGTTCACTATAAGCTGCACCGTGCACCACCTACAGACAGTCTGGGTCCCTGCTCCAGCTCCCAGCATCCTCTGGGTCTGGACCAGAGTCTGCATTTTCACAGGACCTCCAGTGAGTCACGGGAACTTTACCTTTGGGAAATGCGGCTCTAGAAACATGTCAGCCTCAGGGAATTCAGGGCAGCATTGGGGATTAGCAAAGCCTGCCTTTCTGATACATTCCCCTCTGATCCCATGAATGATGATATTTTGCAGTGTGACTACTCAAACCTAGTTTGGCCAACATGTTGCCATTTCTATACATACCAACCTACCACTGTATCTATGCAAAGTAGAAAAGCATCATGAAGGCAACCCAGGAGCTCCTTGTTTCAGGTTTTTTTGCTTTTTCTTTTTTAATAGAAATCAAGCTGGAATCATAAAACTGTGGTCTCTAAGTCCCTCTTTCTGGAATGAACGGCTCCGTTAGGGAAACGTGTCAGTGCCTATCTGGCACGGGGCCACTATTTGTGGGCAGAAGTGGGCAGCAAACAGCCAGTCTACTCTGCATATCTATACTTGGCAGGTTTATCATTAAATGCAATTATTCTTTTTATCAGGGCAGGCAGTCATTATATTCTGGCCATTTAGTATGCCAGCATTTCATTCAGTTATCAAATATTTATTGAAGAGAATTTTCACTGTATAGTGAGGTTTTACGTGAATTAACAGGAAAGTAATTCATTTGTCAGGTCTATTTCTCTACCAGGAATGAGTTAACGTGGGTCCCAGTGCATCCTGTAAGGGGTCTCTCACCACGTAACCTACGTTCACTTTAATTTCTGCCTCCTGACTACTCTCCCGTGAGCTTCCCTTAGGGCTGAATGTGCTGGGGATTGTTCACGGGATAATAGGGGGATTAACAGGCACATTAGGAAAAAACAAAGTTTGCTAAACTGTAGAAGTTAAGTTTTTATCGAAAATGAATGTTGCTTGAAAGTAAATGTATTATATACAGTTTTTCCAGATGGATGGCAACCAAAAATCATTTTGGGAACTGCCTGATTCAAATACAAAAATGACAGCTCTACAAAGATCCGCATTTCCTTACAACCCAGTTGTTTTGCTCCACGAATTCTCTGAGTTCCTGCTTCATTTTTGATAATCAGATAAGCGTGTGGCCCAGGGAAGGATCATGAGGCCGCGATGCTCATCTTCTTCCTCACTTCCCAGAGCTGGGTTACGAAACCCACTCTGTCTTCTCAATCTGTGGTTTCGCCAGGTTGCTTGTCTCCTCTTGTGGAGAGCAGGGGCAGACCCTGGCTTTAGGATGACCTAATCCTAACCCTAACCGCAGCCCCCTGCCACCACCCCCGGCAGCAGGGGCTCAGGGCATGTTTATGTCCAAACTTTTAGTGACCACTGGAGTTGGCACATTTATTATGTCTTTTTCTACCTCTAAAGCAGAAGAGTAAAGTTTATATTCAGTTCTAAAGATTCTTAATGCATGCCGTTAAAGGTAAGGTGTGCCCTGTTAATATTTTATTTTGAAGATTCTTTAGGGCCACATTTCTGGTGGGTGCACGTGACTGGTCATCCAGCATGACTGCACCCAGGGGCACTCCAGCCCCCAATGTGGGAACATGTCAGGAGCTCAGGTGCAGACTTCAGTTTGCCCTCTTTCATTTCTGGATCCAGAATACTTTCTCTTCTGCTGCAAAGCCTCCATCCCCCACATCCACTAGGGTGGGGGTTTAGGTATTAAATTCTTTACCAATTTGAGAAGGTCTCCTGCATTGCAGGCAAATCCTTTACTGTCTGAGCCTCCAGGGAAGCCCTCAGATGGGAGCTGGTGGCAACCAAACCATCTCGGTGGGAGTGTCACCTTGGAGGAGAAGCCTTCTGAAAACAAACTCTTTCTGAAAGACTACATTTTGCTGCTATTCCATCAGCATTCAATGAACGTTTCTAAGGATCAAGCCCTGTCAGTTCAAATACCCCCAACATGCATCTTCCACTCCTGGTTTCTTAGTGGACAATCTGAGGAGTGGATTTCAGGGTATCAGCCTCTTACTCTGTTTTGTTTCCTTATTGGTGAACCATCGGGCACAGCCCCGCTGCCCCTATTTAGCGAGTAGAACCTCAGGCCCTTGTCAGAACTCACACACCTGTTCCCTTTCCCTTTCTGTTTATAGCTTTAGTTTAGAGGATCCAATTGGTGCATGCTTAGAAGTCCTTCTGGATGAATAGGGAGGCTACACCTCACTCAGGACACTCGGCCGGGAAGGGCCTTGTCCTCTGCGACACCCCATGGGCCCCTCCAGGCCACCGAAGGAGGAGCTACACCAGGCCTTACCAGTGTGGCTACACCTCGCTCAGGACACTCGGCCGGGAAGGGCCTTGTCCTCCGCGACACCCCATGGGCCCCTCCAGGCCACCGAAGGAGGAACTACGCCAGGCCTTACCAGTGTGGCTTCTCTTGTGGACCATGAGTACATTGGGGCCGATGCAAATGATCCCACAGACATCACACTTTAGTTTGCCGTTAGGGAGTCGAATGCCTCCAGCTCCTGACAAGGCTTTGCTGCCTTGGACACTGTGCGAGCCATTCATTTTCTCTCCGGAGGCATCGAGCATCCGCAAGTCCTCCGCACACTCTTCCCCATTCACTTCACAGGCACGCCCATTCTCTTCATCACTCTGAGTCTCTACTTTAACATTACCGGCTGAAAGAGACAATACAACACAGGGCGCTGCTCAGTGTCAGGCAAAAACAGAACAGCACCGCCCAGCAGCAAAGCAACCCAGCGGGAGTGACGGCTTCCAAACACAGGTTCTCAGCAGCTTAGCCCGGGGGACAGCAGCCCGGCCCGGACCCGTCCGCCCACAGCGGGCTGTGACGCGTGGCAGTCGGCATCACGGGGCTGGGTCAGTTGCCTGCCCTTTCTGTAGGTCTGAATGCCAGGGGGTGAAGATGCATGGAAAAGCTATTTATAAATTCTCATTTTAGATTGGGGGGGCATGGGGGGCTCTCACGGGGTAAGGTCACCAGGTCCACCGTGACAGCCCCTCTGAAGTCATCCGAGGCCAGGTCCAACACCCTGTGAGCCAGCAGAACCCCTGATCCCAGAAGGTGAGTGACCATCAGGTAATCCCCTACGGGTGGGGGCCCTTGTTTGGCGAACCCCCCTGAGAAGTGCTAATCTAGCTGATAAAGTCCCCTTAAGCGTAAGGATAAGCATAAGCTTGCTTTCCTTCATTCACTCATGTATTAATAAATGTGGGGACCAAACTCAGCAAACACACCCTCAGATTTCTGACTGCAGATTCCTGAAAGCATTTTGTTTGTTTCTTTGGCACATGACCACTCTAAACCCTTCTTATTCCATAGTGATAATAAAACCTGTATCCTAAAGTAGGGCCACGAGCCTCAGGTTTCTTCCAGTTGCTCAAGGGTTGACTGGGATGGCCTGTGAACGTAATCAGATCTGTACTAGCTTTCCAGAAAGGAAGACTCGCGTGTGGGCATGGGGAGGGGGAGCAGGGGAGGTGGCGGGCTCTTGGCTATGATACGATAACCACTGTCCACTTCGCACTGTTGTCTCCTCAGCATCACACTTAGGGTCATTATTTCTGTCAGTCATGTATTTTTCTTGGTAAAGAAAACAGATATTTGGTTTGCACTCTTCTGAAACACCAACTGATAAGGGATGGCTGAATCCAACCCTGCGATGACCAGGAGAAACTGCACTTACACTGAAAGCCCTCGTGTTCATCACAGTCTCTACAGATGAACAAGAGGAAGGAGGTAAATTATGCCAAGTAAAATCGTCAATGAGATAGACAGTAACCATGACAAAAAATGTTTTGATTGGCGTTGTGAATCAGTGGTTCTCCCACTGTGGTCTCTGGACCAGAACAGCAGACAGAACTTGCTGCAAGAGCAGAGTTTGGGGTCCACCTCAGACCCACTGAGCAAGACCCACCCCAGACCCGCCCCTGGGGATGGGTCCTGCCTCGGACACTTCCGCCTCCACTAGAGTCTGAGAAAGCCTGTGCAAGTAACAAGCTCAACGCATTTCTCGCGATTGGCAAGCCCAGTGCCAAGACTCGGAAATCAGAATTCCTGGTTTGGAATCTCAGCTCCATTCTTTATAAATACTGAGATCTGGTACAACCCATGTACCTTCTCTGTACCTCAGTTTCCTCATCTGTAAAACTGGAAACTGTCAGCATTGGCCCAACTGGAGCTTTGAGAGAATTGAGAAGGTAAAGAGATGGCTTTCTGCCATCAGCACCCACACCCTGGTCCTGGAGGTGGCGGTGGGCAGCACAGGGAAAGCATGTCAGGAGTGAACAGGATGAGGACAATGGGGATGGAAAGTGAGGGACGAATGTCACCTTTAATCTCACAGATGCCCTCACGCTAGAAGTCGTGACACCCGTCTGACAGCAGTCCATGAAGGCGGGACTTTGTCATTATTCTGCCAAGTGACACTTTCTCTGAGAACTGTATTCATAGGCTCAAGAAACCAGGAAACTGGAAAGGCCTGAGATCTTTTTGTAAGTTACCCTCCGACCATTGTGGATCCTCTGGTATGGTTTTAGGTAGATGTATTCAGCACCACAAGAGGCTAAGCGCCAAGAAGAAAATTCAGTATCCTGTGATAGTCTAGTTTTATGGGAAAAAAGTAGGCAGACCCCCAATTTGGGGGTCCCTAGATCGCTGCGCAAGGGCAGGGGAGTGTAAAGGTCAGGGGACTAGACAGGGGGTTGGAGTCACATGGAGACACATGGGGTCACAGGAGCCAGCAGGCACATGCTGGGGATGCAGAGCTGGAAGCTGCCTGCACTTGGGGGTGGCGTGGGGAGCAGAATTCAAGGCTAGACGGTCACAGAAAGGTCTGTGGCAAGTGAGAGGGCGGCGGGGGTTGGAGGTGAGACCCAGTGGGCCACACATCAGCCACTGGCTCAGCAGGTTCAAGCATGTGTGAATTTTCTCTCGGTGTGAAGGGGAAGTTCCTATCTCTTTGTGGACAAATGCACCCTGGGTGCCGGCTGCGTGGAAAAGGTGCAGAGACGCCCCCAACCCAAGGCGGGTGTCCACGAGAAAGGCCTCTCATCTCGCGAGGAGGTGAGTAGAGGCGGCGGTCGTGCTATTCTCGTACATGACGGAAATCAGGGCAGGGAACTGTCTTAATACGAGGCAAACACAGATCAGACCTCAAAGTTGAAATCTAACATACATCCATGTAAGGCCCACAGACTGCAGAAGACACATTTGAGAAACACAAGCTCAGACGGGGTGTTCTGGCTTCACTTCTGCACATGTGAAAGTGGCTGGGGGGGTTCACGTGATGGTGAGCTTGACTAGCAACGTGGCCCAAGAAAAGGACAGTAGCAGCTGCAGACTTGGGGGCCCACAGTACTGACCTACAGAGACTCCCTGCCGCACAGGCTGGACGCCTCCTTCAAGCAGGTGCACACAGTCCGGAAGGGGTCAGAAGGAAGGAAACCGGGGGTCACAGAAGCCCATTCTTAGATGTCAAGGGGCCCCAATGCGCTGGGCTCAGACACAAGGCTCGGGCTGAGAGCAGAGATGCCCCCGACCCCAAGTTCCTGAATGAAGGGAGGCAGGCGGGAAGACGCAAGGGGGACTGGAGGCCCTCTTGAGGGGGATCCCTGCCCTGGGGGGCCTCCACACTGCTGGAGACCAGAAGGCAAACCTGGAGCGTGGTGGTGGTGGGTGGCTCTGGCAGCCAGGCTCCCCCTCAAGGCACCAGAGGGGCAGGCGCGGGTGTGGAGGGCCTGTCCCTGCCTCTTGTAGGCACCTTCCCAGGAAGGCTCTCGGGTCTGAGAGCTGGTGGGTCCGTGGTTTTGAGCTGCACAGCCTGGAGCACTCAGGCGCACCAGCCTTTGCTCAGACTAGTGAAGGAGGAGACTGGGAACAGATGGCGGGTGTGTACTAAAGCCATCCGCAGGTCCACACCCCAACACTCCACAGCCCAACCAAAGAGACAGGCAGGGCCCCTGCATCCTTGCATGAGAATGCCATGTGGTCAGCCCTCTTGTTTGCTTCCTCAGACCCATCCTGTCACCAATTCCAGGAACCAGTCATCCTTCCTAACTTGCATTTAGTGTTCCGTGGTCCAGCCCATAGATGCTGTCTCTGTGGTCATCCCCTCTCTGAATTCCTAAACCATTCCATTGGCTCTGTTTCCCTGGACCCCAAGCTGCTTAGCTGCACTACTGCTTCTATGAAATGTTATACTCTCCCTGAATATAAGGATTATACTTATAAATATTTTGTAACTCTGTCCTTCCACCACTTAGAAAATGTCAAACTCAGTACAGTGCTGAATGGAACTGATTAAATATAGAACATGAAATGGAGCCTGAGTTTCCTGACCCTGGAACACGTTGGCTCAGGCCTAACCGTGCAGCTAACTTTCCCACCGAGTCCGGGAGCTAATGGACGAGGCCCCACTGTCATTATTTAATAAACATGGCTGCCGGCAGAGTGGATGTGCCTTCAAGCCCTGAGCCAAAAGCTACTTTCTTTCCAAGATGCAATTTAAAATTTGGGAAAATGAAAGTCTCGTTGTCATGCATCTCAGAGGCTTTCTATGTTAATAGTAACAGGACAGTCCTTAGAGTGACCCTGGGTGCCTAAACATTAGCACATAGACAAGGTTAGCCCTGTGAGAATCCAGAGAACTCGGGGTCATTGGGGCCAGGAGGCCTGGATCTGCTGCCAACCATTGTGTGGCCTCACGAAAGATTAAAACATTTTAATGCAAAGAGATAAAGCACACTGGCAGCCTCGCCTCACAGATAGATTCTGTTTCCCCATCACTTTCCCTCCCCTTTAGAATGCGTCTATATATTTATAGGTGAGGTAAAGCATTGGTACTCAGATGGCATTTTTCCACTGACCAGATAGCCCCTAAACTATGAGCTTAGACCAGGTAAGCTCAAAATGCTCAATATTTTAAATGAAAAAACCAGGAGGCAGAAATATCCCTGCAACTGAAAAAAAGCAAACGTATTTAAGGTGTATCTTGAATGAAAGTAATTAAAAATGTTATATGAAGAGAGATGTGTAGAAGTTTTCGTGCTGCCTCTAAAGGTTTATGAAAACTTTTAAGCACTTTAAGGTTAATAAAACCACTGACTAGAACTTATATAGCACTGAAAACACAGGATTTTTCATTGCAAGGAGACATGATTACTTCGTTTACTTCACTAATGGGAAGGTAGCCATGCCCTTCTCCGGGGGATCTTCCTGACCCAGTGACTGAAGCCAGGTCTCCTGCAATTGCAGGCGGGTTCTTCACCATCTGAGCCGCCAGGGGAGCCTCAACTAGAAATATGCTTGTCCTTATTTGATGTTTTGGGTTTTAAAAGGAATGAAATCAGAGAGAGATAAGAGAGGAAGAGCATGAAAAACGAATGAGTTACTGGCATATTTACATTTTCCTCAGGTAACAGGGGACGCAAATTTAGATAGAAGAGGGTCAAACAGCTTGTTTTTAATTTTCAACAAGCGACGCAAGAGAGCTAAGTGAGGTGGACAATTCTCCACCGTGACCACTAGGTGGTGATGTTGGCCCAGAACAGTTGGGTTGCTTGTTCGGGTGGGGACCTCATCAAGATCAACAGTTACGGCTTGGGTATGTGGAAAGGGGTGGGGAAGGAAGAGAAGAGATACTAAAACCTTGTGAAC